AATTGATTTTAGATTTTGTTAGTGTGGATATAGACAAGCTCTTACTCAAGGGTATAGTCCTTACTTATACACCTTTACTCCTAAGGAATGTTTTTGTTTGTTTATTTGCTTGTTTGGGGGTTTTGGGTAGTTGTTGTTTTTATCTTATGGGTTTTTATTTTTGTTTTTTGATAGGGCTGGAAAAGGTATGATCTTTTTTTTTCTGTGAATAACTTCTTTTTTTGGTACTAGAGATTGAACCCAGGGACACTCTACCACTGAGTCACATCCCCAGCCCTTTTCATTTTTTTATTTTGAGACAGGGTCTCACTACATTGCTTAGGACCTCACTTAGTTGCTGAAGCTAGCCTCGAATTTATGATCCTCCTGCCCCAGCTTCTTGAGCCCCTCAAATTACAGGTGCATGCCACCATGCCCAGCTGCTTAACACAAAAAACCACACAATAGCAAAGTCAAAGAATACAGTCATTTTAAATTAGAAAAATTGTATACTTATGTCTGTGTGTATGTATGTGTGTGTGTGTGTGTGTGTGTGTGTATATATATATATATATATATATAATTAATATGCTATTGGTTAAGAATATATATTAAAAGTAGTTTTCACATACCAAACAGAAATTTAAAAATGTATCAAATACAACTCGTACTAAGTTCAGTCTTTAAAATATTCAAAACTTTGACTAAAGCTAGTAATAGTGGCACTTGCCTGTAATCCAGCAACTTGGGAGGCTGAGGCAGGAGGATTACAAGTTCGAGACCAGCCTTAGCAACTCAGGGCAGCCCTCAACAACCTAATGAGATCCTGTCTCAAAATTTAAAAAAACAAAAACAAAATTAATTCGGAGAACTTACCCTAAAGAAATCTTAATTTAAAAAAAATAACAAAGTTGTTTATTACCTATTATTATAATGGCACAAAATAAAAATAAACTAAATATGAAGCAATCAAAGAATGATTCAATAAATAATGGTACAAATTTTCGATAATGGTAAGAAAAAGATGCTGTTAATGCAAAAATGCTTATGTAGGGAATGGAAAATGCTTACGTAGTTCAGTGGAAAAGCATGTGCTCACCAAAAAAAAAAAAAGTTTATAAGATTAAGTCTAAACCATGCCTAGTGGCACATACCTGTGATCCCAGCCACTTGGGAGGCTGAGAGGCTGAGGCAGAGGATCATAATCTCAAGGCCAGCCCGCACAACCTAGCCAGACACTATCTCAAAATAAATTTTATATATATATATATATATATATATATATATATATATATACATAAATTATATAAGTTTTATATATTGTATATATACCATAATTATATCTATACCATATATATGTAATATAGGCCATATATAAATCATATATATATATATATATATATATATATCTCCAGTCCTTTAAATAAGTATATATATGTTTGTTTATTTATTTAAAGGGCTAGGTATATAGCTTAGTGATAGAGCACTCCTGGGTTCAATTTCTAGCAAGATACAGTCTTTCAATGTTACTGTTGAACTCTCCTGATGTTATCAGTCTTTCCACTTTTACTGAGCTTGAACTCATATAGGACTGAAGTAAATCCTCAACTTGTATGATCCTTGTTCTCCTTTGATCCATCCCTGTAATAGTCAGAATTTAGACTTTTTTGGGGAGAGGAGTTACTGGGGATTGAACTCAGGGGCACTCAACCACTGAGCCACATCTTCAGCCCTTTTTTTGGTGTGTGTGTGTATTTTATTTAGAGACAGGTCTCACTGAGTTGCTTAGCGCCTCACTATTGCTGAGACTGGCTTTGAACTCGGGATCCTACCAAGCCGCTGGGATTACAGGCATGCATCATTTCCCCCAGCTTCTTTTAGAATTTTGTCCTTTGTATGGTCAACTCAGCCCTCAGCCAAGGATGCACAGGAAACTTCCACACCAACTTCTCAGTTTCCTCATCTGTACTGCCTCTTTTCTTATACTTTAACCTCTCAAAACTCCAACTGCTTCCAGCAACCCTGAACTCTTATGTCTGTCTCCACACATTAGTGAGATTGTGATGCTTTACAGGGGCTCAGCCTCCCTGTTCTGTGGTTGAGAAATTGTTTCCAGGCAGAGAGACAGGGTAGTGGTTCCTGTTCCAGAGCTAGTTCTCAGCACTAATTATGTTCACAGGAAGAAAGCCCCTGTAATACTGAAATAGATAGGATGTAGAACATTTTCCCAAGCTTGCACACAGGAACCACAGTCCAGTACACTTAGTTAGATGTACTTTGGGGAAAGGAGGAATATACAGCTTTTAGTACCTTGCACAAAGTTTGAGTTGAGTTGATATTGATATCTAGGTGCGAAAGTGTCATTGTAGCCCCTGTTAGAATGTGTATATGATGAGGATCAGACAAGAAATGAAGTTCTAGTCTAGATAAGGCTCATATTGGGTCTATAGACATCTCCACCCCACCACACATACATCTGTGTTAATTGTTTCACTAATCTCTGAATTTAAAATGGAATGACAAATTCCAGATTTGGAGTAATCCTACATTGATCTTTTTAGCCAGAGTTAAGAGTTAATACACTGGAGAAAACCAAATGGTAGTTGCTGCCCTTTTTCCAGCCAAAAGAATAACAACAACAATAACAAATTAATCCCAGCAGGAGTGTGGAAAGGTTAATGCAACTTTAAAAGTAAAAGAATGCATCCCCCTCCTTTACCTCACCAACCTGGACCCTGTTTAAAAAAAAAAAAAAAGAAAAGAAAAGAAAGAAAAGAAAAGAAAAAGATTCCAGGGAGTGACAGTTAACCAACAAAAACTCAGCAAAATAGTAGTCCCAGTTGGAGCCATGATGCCAGATATGGTATATTTTCTAAAACAGATTAATATGACTATAATATAATATAATATGACTATAATATACATTGATCTGATAAGTGCATTCTTATAAATCCTTTTTGAAAGGAAAAACAGAAATGATTCATATTAGCATAAGACAGACAAAAGTTTACATTTCTGGTTGTTTCCCAAGGTCCATGTCAGCTATCCTGCCCTCTATTACATTATAGTCAGAAGGGATATAAGCTAGCAGGCATTTCTAATATTGGATGATAAATTATACAGACCACAGGAGCAAAATGTACTATGTTGGAAGTTTTGGTAAAATGTATTTGCTACAGAAGGAAGGAAGTATATCCCAGTGAAGATTCAAGTGCCAGCCATGCAAGTGAAGGTTTTAGATATGTCCAGTTATCTGGGACATGACAGACCTTCTCTAAAGTAAAGATGAAATTACTGCATCATGCACTTTTACTTTTATTAAAAAGAAAGTGGAGACTTTCATGTCTGTAATTCCAGCAATTTGGGAGGCTGAGACAGGAGGATCACAAGTTCTAAGTTAGCCTCAGCAAGTTAGAGAGACCCTGTCTCAAAATTTAAAAAACAAAAGATGGGTAAATGTCTGGGAATATGGCTCAGTGGTAAAGTGCCCCTGAGTTAAATCTTCATTAACCACCACCACCACCACCACCACCCCAAAAAAAGAAAAAAAGAAATGATCCTAGATTCTTTTTAAAATGTGAAAGTTCTTTTTGACTTTTAAGTCTTTATGCTTACTGAAATTGATTTTTGTACAATATGTGAAGTAGAAACCCAATTTTATTTTATTTTCCCATTAGATATCCAAATCACAATAGTATTTGTCAAGTTAACTCCTTCTTTCCACAATGATTCTGAATGCCATTCCTTATTTATTGAGCATCTGTACACACGTTTGTTTTTCAGTCCCCAATTCTGTTTAATTTATCTAGTTACTATCATTGTGCTACTACACTGTTTTAACTGTTATACATTTATAATAAATCTTTACATGTGCCCGGCACAGGGGGCTAGGGAGGCTGAGGCAGGAGGATAGCAAATTCAAAGCCAGCCTCAGCAAAAGTGAGATGCTAAGCAACTCAGTGAGACCCTGTCTCTAAATAAAATACAAAATAGGGCTGGGGATGTGGCTCAGTGGCCTAATGCCCCTGAGTTCAATTCCTGGTATAGCCCCCACACCCCAAAATCTTAACATATCCAGTAGAGACAGTTTCTGCACCTCCTTCATTCACTGAAAAAAAAATTTTCTTTGATCTTCTTCACTCTCATTAKTCCATAGAAATTTAAAATAGTCCAAGTTCCACAGAACACACTATTGGGATTTTTTATTGGCTTTGCATTGAATTTATGTATTATTTTAGGAAGAAATGACATTGTCATATTTAGTTCACATATACATAGATACGGTATGTATCTCAATTATTTATCCTTAATAAATAAAGCTTTATAATGTTTCCATTAAAGCAATTTTTTTGTATTTCTTTGATTCTGTAATTGTTGCCTTTTAAAAATCACTTTTCCTAACTTGTGCTGGTGATGGGAAATGCAATTATGAATGTCGATTTTTTAAAAATTTAACTTTTGCCAAACCCTTTTATTAATCCCCGTAATTTAAGTGCTAGATTACCTTGAATTTTCTAGGCAAACCATTTGGCATGCTCCTTAAAACTGTTATGTATTTATAATTAATATTTTAATTAATGCAAACAGCTCTTAAAAATACATTTAATAAAGGTATGGTAACACTCTTCCTCACACCCTTTCCCCTTTTCACAGTTTCTAGCTTTCACCTCTCACAGGTAACCACTATTATTAATTTTCTTACGAATTTTCTTATACTTTTTTTGTGACCATAAAAGCAAATATAATTTAAATTCTTTTTACTCTCTTCTATTCCCAAACGTGGCAAATTATATACAGAGTTCGGAGTGATTTTTTTCCTTTGTTATGAACGGAAAACGTTTTGAAGTCTCTTTAACAGCAAGAAGGGAAGAGAGGGTCGGCGAAGAGGAGGGGAGCCAGCAAACGACTGAGTGTCAGTCCGGGAGGTGGCTAGAGAGGCCCGGAAGTGGCCTCTCTGCCCCGCCCTGCGGGTGGTTTGCTAGTTTCGGACACTTTTGTGAGTATGGGGTGAAAGGGAGGCGTCCATATGGTGCCCACTTTCTTGTGTGGGTTTAGTTCACCCGTGGCTGTCCTGCCAGTCCTGCCCTTCTTTTGTCCCCGAGTAGGGACAGAGGAGTCCTTTCCTGGCAGTGCCTTTGCAGTCTGCGTGCGGAGAGGGAGACCCTGGGGGAGGCCTTGGCAGGGGCGGGGAGGGCACTCCTTGGCCCTAAGAACTGGGTCGGGAGTGCTTACGCCAGGCGCATTGTGATTCCCTTAACCAGTGCCTTTTCCGGGTGTCTGGGTGGCCCCTTAGAGTGTCTGGAAATAGGATTCGTGGGTCACACAGACCAACTTTGAAAAAACGGGAACCGTTAAATTTTTACTCGTCCTGGAGACAAGGTCAGTTCTTTAAATTATTATGTCACCGAAGGAGAGTCAGGACTTTGGAGTTGTATTGCCTGGTTGGATCCCACCCCTACCACTTATTAGCTGTGTGATTTGGGACCAGTCCCTTAACCTCTCTGTACCTTATTTTACTGCTTCGTAAAATGGGGATTGATATCACCTAACTCACTGGGTCAATGTGAAGATTAAGTGATCTAATATGGGTAGGATGCTTTTTAAAGTACCAGGTACAGAGTAACCACAATGTAAAGATTGGCTGCTATTATTTGTTATTTCTAATGACAGCAGCACATTGTCTTCAGTGAGTAGTGTTAATGACTGGCTTTTGTTACTGTTTTTTTCTTTCTTTTTTGAATTTTGGTGTCATTTACCAGTTCTGTTTGTAATGGATKATTTCTGTATTTTAGGAAGGAAAAAATAAGATACTCTCAATATTCTATCCCAAAGCGAAAACTCAAAGTGGTTTGGTTTGTGTGTTGTGATGTCCCAGGGACAAGCTGTCTTATTTATTTTGCAAAGGAGAAAGGAAGTGTTGTGGAAGAAGGCAGTTTAGTTTACTTAAGGGGATTGAAAAAGAGTCCAGAAAGGAGGGGACATGTAAGTTGGACTTCTGGGCTTGAGTGCTGTTTACTCTGAAGATACATGGCAGCATGTAGGAAATACTTATTAAGAGCATAGTTAAGTTTGGTAGGGTAGCTGCTGAGCTCTTGCAAATTCAGGGTATCTTTATGCCTTTTTAAAAAATAGATTCCTCTGTTGAATGTACATAGTCTGGAAGACACAAGTATCTGAGCCCTATCGGAGCTCCCACTGGCCCCTTTGGCTGAGTGGTCTGAACAATGACACCTACATGACCATTCAATATAGTCCCTTAGTTCATTTGTGGAGAGAGGGTCACCAGTTGGTTGTGATCAGAAATAGGTGCTTATCTGGAATTAAAGCATTAGTGATTTTAGGCAGGAGAAGGCCTTGGTTAAGTATTTTAGAGAGCACTCTCTGATGGCAGCCCGAAAGATGTAGGAAGCTGGGTGGGTTAAAAGTACTTAATTAGGCTAGAGACAAAAATGAGGACCTGAGCCATGCTGATAGCAGGGAGAATAGATTGAGAGACATTCTAGGGGTAGAATAGATTGGAACAAGTGATCCTTGTAGCAACTAGAGGTAATCAAATGATTCTAAAGAAGCCTAGTGACTAGTTGCTGCTATACTAGGGAATATTTTGCTGGAGAACGAATAGATGAGGCAGCAAGAAAATCAGCCTGGGTCAGGGCATACTGAGTTGTGTTTGTTTGCAAAATTTCCAGGTAGAAGTGTCTGGGAGGCAGCTCAAGATAGAAATCAAGATTTTTGGAGGAAGGGGGGTAACTAGGTGACTGAACCTAGGTTATATTCTCAGAGCTCTACCACTGAGCTATACCTTCAGCTCCTTTTTAAAAATGTGTAGTTTACTAAGATCACCTACACACACAGAAATGTGTAGTTTACTAAGATCACCTAACTAGTAGGTGGTCAAATTGGTTTATGAACTCAGGAAACGTGGCTTGAAAGTGTGCATCTAACCAGACTGTAATAGAACGCTGGGAAGAGACAGGAAGGATGAAAGCAGGACAGAATTCAGGTCCCTGAATCCAGGGAAAGTGAGTTTCTGGAAGTAGATACCAGCATCAGCCTGGTTGATTTAGAAAAAGCCATGAAAAATGGAAACAGAAGGAAGTATTTCTGGTTACTTCTGCAGGAGAAATTTTAATGGCTTTCTTCCTGGTTTGCTGTGTACAGTGTGTTGAAGGCTAAGTGGGAGCTTAGGACCAGAGTCCAAGTCTGGAAGACTTTCTTTTAAGAAGTTTGGACTTAAAGGGGAGTAAAGAGTGGCAGATTAAAGGAGTGGCAAGGATCGGGGCAGCCACTGCTCTGTTCAGAGCAAAAGCTTGGTGATATTCTTTGATATTTCTTAGAGAAACAGAAGATCCTTCAGTGCAAAGTTCAAAGAAGTCTGGGGGAATTTTTTTTTTCACCAAGATGAACCCAGGGGCACTTTACCACTGAACCACATCCCCAGCCCTTTTTATATTATATTTAGAAACAGGGTTTCACTGAGTTTCTTAGGGCCTTGCTAAGTTGCTGAGGCTGGCTTTGAACTTGAGATCCTCCTGCCTCAGCTTCCTGAGCCACTGAAATTGCAGGTGTATGCCACTGTGCCCATGGTCTGGGGAAATTCAACTTTCTCATCTGAATGTGAGTTAATTTTCTACCAGTTGTTTGGATGAGCCTCACAATCAGAGAAAAAAAAAATCAGTTTTATTTCTTTTGCCACAGGGCCTGCCATCTTTTCTTTCTCCTCCTAAATATAGCTCCTTGACCACAGGGACCTATTATTTATTTCCTATTGCTACATAGCAATTTGCCAGATATTTATAACTTAAAACTTATTATTCCCAGTTCTGTAGGTCAGAAGGCCAGGGAGGCTCAACTGAGTTGTCTGTTTAGGGTCTTCCAAAGTCAAGATGTTGGTAGAGCTGAGCTCTGATTTAGAGGCCACTTAAAAGCTCATTAAGGTTATTGGTAGAATTAAGTTCCTCCTGATTAGTCTGGTAAATCTGAGATGATATCTCATCATACTCAAAGTCCTGGGAATTAGAACAGCTAATCCTTAGGGTCATCTTAAAATTCAGTCAACCACAGACCTGGTTGCTAATGGGATCATTCTGAGCTAATCACTGAGAGAAGCTTCCTAGAGTCCAAAGTAGCCTGCTCTTTGCTGAAAGTTGGTTGCTCCAGCATCAGTTTAAATCTGGATTAGTGAGTGCCTTGGAGGGTGTCCACATCCACTCCCAGGACATCCTTTGAGGATCTTAATGTGGGGTTCAGGTTTGGAGTGGTTCAGAGGATGTAGCTGCAGAGGCACTTGAACCTGGGGGAGAAATCTCTGCAACTGCTCCTTGGCAACATCCTCAGGCACCTGAGCATGAGAGGAGGGCACTCTTAGCAAATTGAGTAACTAATAATGATTTTCACCTTACAGGAATTTCCAAAAGTACAGCTTGCAACTACAGTGAGGCCCATATTGCCTTGGCTAAGAATGGCTAGAGAGTCGAGGGAAAGCACAGCCCTGGATGACCACTCTGCAGACGACCAGATGGGGCTTCTGGTCATAAAGGTGGAGGAGGAAGAGGCCTCTGCCTTTGCAGAGGAAGCCAGTTTGCCCTGTAGCCCCCACCAGGGCAAGGAACACTGCCGCCAGCGCTTTCGTGCTTTCTGCTACCCAGAGACAGCAGGACCCAAAGAGGTGCTGAGCCAGCTCCGAGAGCTCTGCCGACAGTGGCTGAGGCCTGAGATGCACAGCAAAGAGCAAATCCTGGAGCTACTGGTGCTGGAGCAGTTCCTGACCATCCTGCCCAGGGAACTGCAGAATTGGGTGCAAAAGCAGCATCCAGAGAGTGGGGAGGAGGTGGTGGTACTGTTGGAGTATTTGGAAAAGCATCTGGATGAGCCCACACTGCAGGTAGAAAGAACAGGTTTAGTATCTGAGAGTTATAGTCTGTTCCTTCCTGAAGATCAGAGTGAGGGGCATTCCTTTAAGATCAGGAGTTCTGTAACTTTTTGAACTGTGAACCAGTTTAGCAATATTCTGGACCACTTCTCAGAATATAAAGGAAAATATAAAGGAATACAAAACAACTCCATTGTATTGATAAACATTTAGCAAAGTATTAAATTTGTGATGAAGCTGTATATATGCCTTTTTAAAAATTTAATGCACTAAGTTAATAAGACCTAAGGAAGGGGCTTGAAGATTTTTCTGCTGGGAAAAATCTGCAATTTCTGTTGAGGACAATCTTGCAACTACTTATACCACATTGGTTTGTTGCTTTCATTCACAATTCAAGTAAATACTACATTTTTCTTAGAGATTCGTAAAAATAAATAAATAAGATTAATTTTTTTCCTGTCCAAATTCATAGACCATTTGGGATGGAATCCATAGACCTTTGCTTTTGAACCTCTGGTAGAAAATGGGTTCTTACCTCCATCTTCTGGCTTGTTTTATGAGGCTGTTTCATTTTTGCATTATCCGAGTCCTTATACACATTCCTTCAGAGAACATTTGGCCAGAGCCTTTTAACCAGTGACTAGGAGACCAAAGTTCTTGACTTGGATCTGTTGCACTGAGCTCTATAACAGAAAGTCATTTCAAGTCTCTTAACTTATTTATAAAGGATGTGGGAATTTCTGAGTTATACAAAGAAAGTGACTTGGAAAATATAATTTAAAAATTTTTTTATAGTTGTAGGTGAACACAATACCTTTTACTTTATTTTTATGCAGTGCTAAGAATCGAACCCAGTGCTTCACGCGTGATAGGCAGTTGCTCTAGCACTGAACCACGAACCCAGCCCAGAAACTAGCTAGCCAGATCCTGTGTTGGTTGATTTCACATACTGTAATCTTACTTACTTGTTCCAAAAATTCTTCAAGCTAAAAATTATTAGACTCATTTTTTCAGATAGTTTTTTTTTTTTTTTAGAATTTCTCACCAGTTTCCAGAGTGCTTTCATAAACGCACAAATGAATATAATGAGGGGACATAGATTTAAGAACATGACTCTGGTGCCATTCTGCCTGAACTCCCATCTTAGCACTTTATTAGTCACTTATTAGCCAAGTGACAATGGGCAAACTGCTTAACCTGTCTCAGTTTCTTCATAAGTAAAATGAGGATAAATAATAGTATGTCCCTTTTAAGGCAGCTATTCATGTTGTTATTTTATAGTACTTTTATTATATACAGTGCCAGGCTTATAAAAAGTGCTATAGAAGTATTTGATGAATAAATGAAAATAAAAACAAATGAATGACTTCTAGGTCCCAGGTGGTGACCAGGGGCAAGAATTGCTCTGTTGCAAGGTGGCACTGTTGACACCAACCCTAGAGTCACAAAATAGCCAATTCCCACCAGTGAAGGCTCTGCTCAAGTGTGAATCTTTGCAATGCCAGCCCTTACAAGATAGAGGTGAGTATTATCTTCTGGTCTGTGTGAATTCTACAGATCTCATCCAGTTTCACTGAAGGTTCACCTAGAAGATCCATTTACATGTTCGTCATTGATCAATCCTATTTTGAGACTAAGACTAAAAGGGAAATTGCAAACACAATTGTGGAAATCTTTCCAAGTCTCAGCATCATGAATAAGATGTTACTAAAATTTGGGTATGGAAAGAATTTTCTCTAAATACATTTAACATGTGAATTACAGAGGACTCTTATGCTGTAGCCAATGTTGTTGGCACTGGGGATATAGCCATCAGTGAGACAAACATTGCGCCAATGGAGTTTCCATTCTATTGTAGAATATGGCAAATATACAATTAATAAAACAATTTAGTAGTAAGTCCTGCGAAGAAAATAAACAGAAATCTATAGCGTCAGCCAAAATATCCCAGTTTAAAGACTATTACAAATTAAAGGCTCTAAATTTTCTAAACCCTGGATCTGTTATTTAAAAAAAAAAAAAAAACATGAAATTTACTCCAGAGGAAACAAATATATGCTGTCTGGTGTTCTCTCAAGTTCCCTGAACGTGTGTAGGTTCTTGTGATACATGACACTGGGACACATCAGACAATGTGCAATCTTTATTTCTCAACAGAGGTTCTAGCCTAAACCAACTATTTTTCCCCCTTTTACTGTTTGCCTCCTATAAGGAAACCTGAAGTTCTTTTTCATGTTCTGTCTCTTGAACCAGAGTCCAATTTCTGCTTTTCTGGGTCTAACCTTATTTGACTCCTCTTAGTTTTTCAAAACCAAAGCAGAATTCACTCTCACAGCTACTAATCAAAAATCCCATTGTTTTTCCCCTCCCTAACAAAATTCAAAGGATCCTCCAATGGAAAGCTTGTGTATGTGTGTTTGGTTGAGGGGGGGGTTGTTGTTCCTTTCATTTTGCTATTCCTTACAAGGGTCCTTTTTGCATGCTTTTTTTTTAAATGTCTACAGAGCACACCAGATGTCTTTAGCCCTAGAATTGGAGCTATTGGGATCAGGCACTTTGGAAAAGTATATGCTCTGTATAAACTTGTTTGGCAGAAATTTATTAATCCAGGTTTTGAACTTGGATTCCACAAGGCAGAAAGTCTGACTGCCAAGGTAGATCTAATCCAGAGTATCTTTCCTTCTTAGTTGCCCAGGGAGACAGCTGCAGAGAAGACACCATGTTAGCTGCCAGGCTCACTCTAGAGTCCCGGGTGAGCTAGAGCCCCTCATCTTCCCCCAATCCCTTTTACTGTTGTTGTACTTCCTAGGGCATTCCCTCCCTATGTACCCCACTAATGTCCTGACCCTAAATGCTCCACTTATATCCTAGGTGGGATATGAATTAGTGACTTGGGGAGTTGTCTATGCTTCCTAGATGTTCCCTACTGCGTTTGGTCAATCACTTCTGTTGCTATAGGGGATGCTGAAAACAGAAGATGTGGACTTGACTCTGACCCCTGAGTGGACACAGGTGAATTCCTCTCAGGTGAATCTCTACAGACATGAAAGGCAGGAAAACTGTGACAGCCTGATCTCCCTGGGTAAGACTAACTTCTCCCAAGGTTCCTTGGCATCTTTTGTGTATCAGAAAACCTGTAATTCTGTTAGGTTGGTAGAAGCTATTGATCCCATTATGTTTGGATTCAAAACCACCATTTGAAACCCTGTTACTACACTTAACTCATTAATCCTTTGTGTATGTGTGTGTGTGTGTGTGTGTGTGTGTGTGTGTGTGTGTGTATATATATATATATATACATATATATATATGATTTAAAATTTTTTTTAGGTGTAGGTGGACACAGTATCTTTATTTTATTTGTTTTTATGTGGTATTGAGAATTGAACCCAGTGCCTCATACATGCTAGGCAAGTACTCTACCACTGGGCCACAATCCCAGCCCCTTATTAATTCCTTCTTAACTTACCTTCTTTACTGCCTTGTCAGTGGTTTAGTTACACTAAGGGGCTAGAATCTCTACTACAATTCTGGTTTATACGAGATGCCAACAAATGTGGCTGGTGGTATAGCTCAAATGTAGAATGTTTGCCTAGCATGCATGAGGTCATGGGTTTGATCCCCAGCAGTGAAGGGGAGGGTGATTTCTTTTCCTTCCCTTCCTGTTCCTATCCCTAACTAAGGGGGCAGAGACTTTTCAGGAAATGGGCCATGAGTCATAGAGCAGGAGAGTTAGAAGCTACCTTAGATGTTGACTTCAGATCCTGAAGGGTTACCTGACTTGTCAGAGGTCTATAGCTGACAAGTTGGGGCTTCAACTTAGATATCCTGGTGCTGATGCCTGTTCTATTTGGGAACTGTATCTCTACCTAGGGCATATTTCAAGATAACTGCCCTTGTCTTTGGTCAGTGCCCAATTAATGAGTCTCCACTTTGGATATTTCAACACTTCAGAAATCCTTTCATTTACCCTGTTCATTGTCGCCTTCCACTCAGCTTTTTATTTTTTAATTTTTTTAATGTTTTTAGTTGTAGGTGAACACAATACCTTTATTTATTTATTTTTATGTGATGCTGAGGATTGAACCCAGTGCCTCACACATGCTAGGCAAGTTCTCTATCATGGAGTTACATCCACTTAGTTTTTTCAGTATCTAATTCTAGATGTATAGCCCTGGGCTGGGGATATAGCTCAGTTTGTAGAGTGCCTGCCTCGCATGCACAAGGTCCTGGGTTCAACCCCAGCACCACACACACACACAAAAAATAGATGTATAGCTTTGCCCTTACCATTCTTACTGCTTAGAGACCATCCCTACCCCATGTATCTGCAGCACAGTCCTTGGGCCACCTTTTCTTCACTCATTTCATTCCCAATTGTACCCATCTTCCAATGCCCCCATTCTCATTCTCAGGTCTCCCTCCCTAGCACTCTTTATTTCTATCCTTATTTCTGCCCTTAAGTCTTCTTCCTTGGCATATATAGACCTCTGTAATGCTAGTTTCCTGGTACTCATCACAGAGCTTTCTTCCCATGGCACAGCACAATTAACAGTTGCTGGCCTTTGTTGTTTCAGCTGGTGAAATGCAGACTAAGATTGGGGATTTGCCTCTAGCTGAGGAACATCCAGAAGAAGATCCTGGGAAGATACCATGCCACCAGGGTGAAGATGTTGCCCAAATGCCTACATATGCAGAAGCTAGTGAACAGGAGGCCAGATTACACAGAAAGCGGAAAAATGCCACAGGGAGTAGGCGACACATTTGCCATGAATGTGGAAAAAGTTTTGCTCAAAGTTCAGGCCTGAGTAAGCACAGAAGAATCCACACTGGAGAAAAGCCCTATGAATGTGAGGAGTGTGGCAAAGCCTTCGTTGGAAGCTCTGCCCTTGTCATTCATCAGAGAGTTCACACTGGTGAGAAGCCATATGAGTGTGAAAAATGTGGCAAGGCCTTTAGTCACAGCTCAGACCTAATCAAACACCAGAGAACTCACACTGGGGAGAAGCCCTATGAGTGTGATGACTGTGGAAAAACCTTCAGCCAGAGCTGCAGCCTCCTTGAACATCACAGAATTCATACTGGGGAGAAGCCATACCAGTGCAACATGTGTGGCAAGGCCTTTAGGCGGAGTTCCCATCTCCTGAGACATCAGAGGATCCACACTGGGGAAAGAAATATTCAGGAACCTGACTGGGAAGGTCAAGGCAGAATGGAAAGCCAGTGGGAAAATGTTGGAGCTCCTGTGTCTTATAAGTGTAATGAATGTGAAAGAAGTTTTACTCAGAATACAGGCCTTATTGAACATCAAAAAATTCATACTGGGGAGAAACCCTATCAGTGTGATACATGTGGAAAAGGCTTCACCCGAACTTCATACCTTGTTCAACATCAAAGAAGCCATGTAGGAAAAAAAATTCTGTCTTAGTGACTGGTGCTATACATACTAAAGTTGGAGTTCATTTGTCATTAAACTGAAGCCATCCTGGAGCCCTTACTGGTTACAGAAGTTTGAGGCTKGGGTTTTATTTACCAGTACATCATCAAGTATTAGAAAATATAATCTGGCTGAGATACATTATTCCCAACTGCATAGTAACAGCTCCTTAATTACTTATGATGAGAACTTTAACCATAAGTTATCTACTTGATCAGGTTATCTGCTTTTTCCTTAAACACACCTCATAGAACATTCCTTTTTCTTCTCATGATGGTCAAGGTTTCAGTATTGTGAATTTAAATGAGAAAACTTTTTTAGTCAGCATTATAGTGGTATTTACCAGGTATATTTTAAATGGAGTTGTTTCTACAAAAGTATTTCCAGATGACTGGAGTCTTGCAAGTATTTTGCTAGTGCATCATTTATTATAGAAACATGCATTCATTACTGCATTTATTTACATTTCTCACTTGGATTCTGGCACCAACAATCTCTATATCAGTCTAAGATTCTGGAATTCTTCAGATACTGCAAGGTTTTCTAATCATCTTTTGCAATTAAGATTTGGGCATTGTGATACATTCTCTTCTGCTAAGTGCATTTTGTTCATTAGGAATTGAGTCATTATCCAAAATCCTTTGCAGATCAATCCAGGTCTCTGTTTTTATGTCAGTTTCTAAGACTTGGTATTTCAGGGTTTTCAGGGATCTAACAGACACAAATCTAATAAGACCTAATGTAATTGATTTGTATTACAGAAATAAACCGTATTAACTTTGTTTGATCTTTTTGGGTGGAGGGGAGTGTGGTACTAGAGATTGAACCCAGTGTTTACTAGGCATATACTCTACCAGTAAGCTATATCCCCAGCCCAATGAGTAACTTATTAAATCAATAAAAATGCATTGTATGAGATGGGTGTGGTGTTGCAAGTGTGTAATCCCAGTAGCTCAGGAGTCTGAGGCGGAAAGATCATAAGTTCAAGGCCAGCCTGGGCACTTTAGCAAGACCTGTCTCAAAAAATGAAAGGGGTAGAGATGTAGCTCGGTGATAAAGTACCCTTGGTTCTGATTGCCAGTATCAGGGGGAAAAATGCATTGCATGATTTCCAGACTTCCTAGATATATATTAGGATCTGCAGAGAAATAGAATACATGTATGTGTATATCTAATTGTGTATGTTTATTGTAACAAATTGGAGACCCATGTGAATAAGCCAGTGGTGTGAGTTCCAGTCTGAAAACTGTTTCAGTTTGAATATGAAGGCTGAAAAGGACCAATGTCCCAGGATATAATTCAGTAGTAAAGCTCTTTCCTAGCATACAAAGCCCTGGTTTCAATCCCCAGTGCCTCAGGAAAAGTAAGTAAAAACTAAGATAACTTTTCAACATGTTCCCCACTTTTGATTTCTAGTTCTTTTCATTTGGCAGTCCTGGGAAAGATGTTTGACAGCCTCAGGATAGAGAAGACTGGCATGAGGCTGAGAGACAAATGACTGACTCATCATTATCCATTATCCAGGATATCCTCAGCATCTAGCAGAATCTTGTTGAATGAATTATTCTAAAAATTGGCTAATTCTATTTGTTCTTTTGTATTAACATAAAATTGCCTGGCACTTACTGCTAAAGACCAAAGTGTTCACATTCCTATTTCCAGAAATAAAATTTTTCCATATTTCTAAGCAAGTTATGTGTTTTACAGCTTGTGTTAGGTCAGCTGATGAAGAATCAAAAGTTGAACAAGCAGTCTCTCTCTTCCCTTGAAGAGCATGAAAACTTCACTTTCCTCACCTAAGGTACTTTTTCCATGACTGTCCTCATTTTATTGTCAACTTGTTATGGTTTGGATATGAGGTGTCTCCCAAAAGCTCATGTGTGAGACAATGCAAGAAAGTTCAGAGGAGAAGTGATTGGGTTATAAGAGTCTTAACCCAATCAATGATTTAATCCCCTGCTAGAGATTAACTGAGTAATAACTGAAGTGGAAGGGTGTGGCTGGAGGAGGTGGGAATTGAAGCATGGCTTTGGTGTATATATTTGTATATATTTATATCTGGCAAGTGGAGTCTCTGCTTCTTGATCACTATGTGAGCTGATTCCCTCTGCCACATTCTTCCACCATGATGTTTAGCCTCACCTGCTGCCCCATGGAATGGAGCTGGCCTTCTATGGACTAATAAGACCTTGAGCTCTCTAGTAAACTTTTCCTCCTCTCTACAGTTATGCTGGTCAGGTCATTTAAACACAGCAGCAAAATGCTGATTAAAATACAACTTAATAGTCCTTTCTTCAGGGAGGGGAATGTCTACACCATGGCTCTCTGGCAATTTACATGTGCCACAATGGACCAGGATTTAACACCAGCTGATATAAACCTTATAGTACACTGAGAGCACACAGCTGATTTTTGCTGTTTTTGCAGTATTGGGGATTGAGCCCAGGGCACTTCCCAACCTTTTTTATATTTTGAGACAGGTTCTTGCTAAGTTGCTGGGGCCAGCCTTAAACTTGCAATCTTCTGCCTCAGCCTTCCAAGTTGCTGGGATTATAGCCACTGCACCGGGTACATAGTTGGTTTTGTGAAGAGCTGCTATAAAACCATTTCTTACTCAACTCCCTATCATGGAGGCTGTTAAGAGAGAGTTTTCTTTGATGAGGAATAAGGCTTTCTACCTGTCCCTATTAAAGGTAAAACTGCAAACCATAAAACTGCTTATCTGCAGCATGACATGAGCCCCTTGGCAACAGAATATTCCAATGACTCTATATGATGCAATCATATGGCCTCTTTTGGTTCCTTCCTGCTGGAAAAGGGACACAAGGAGCTTGCACATTTTGTACTCTCACTTTCACTCTCTATAAAAATTTTAAAAACTTAAAAAATACTTCTTTTCTGACCAAATAAATAAGTCAACCTTCCCTGAAAAATCTGATGCCAAACAATTGGATTGGTAAATGCCCTTTCGGAACAAAAACAGATGCAGTCATATGGGACAAAATATGTAAGACTTCCTAGGATCTGGTAAGATATATTCTTAAGTTGGGGTGGGGAGAGGAATAAAAGTCTTTCCACAGTTGTACCTATATTACATTTGCTATGTAACAGAAAATAGACTCCCCAAGATCTAATAGCATATATTACTTATTGAATGTTTAGTTAAATTATTGAAGGTCGGATTAGATGGAAAGGCAAGGGACAGTTGCTTAGTGTCTGTGTTGTTTTTAAAAGTTTGTTGAGGCCAGGTGTGGTGATATATGCCTGTAATCCCAGCAACTCAGGAGGCCGAGGCAAGAGGATTGCAAGTTCAAAGCCAGCTTTGGCAATTTAGCAAGACCTTAAGCAACTTAGTGAGACCCTGTCTCAAAAATAAATAAATAAAAATAAAAAGGGACTGAGGGACTGGGATTGTGACTCAGTGGTGGAGTGCTTGACTTTCATGTATGAGGCTCTAGGTTCGATCCTCAGCACCACATAAAAATAAATAAATAAATAAAGGTATTGTGTCCATCTACAACTAAAAAATATATATTTTTTAAAAAGGGTGGGAGGATTGAGGATGTGGTTCAGTGGTTAAGCGCTCTTGGGTTCAGTCCCTGGTACCAAAATAAAAAACAAAGTTTTTTGAGGTTGAATGGATGACTACTTAAAGCGAGATGGGGAGAAAAGCAAGTGCAAATTTCTGCCTGCTTGTGTGGAATCCATCCTTCCATGCCCTTTATTTCTCCTTGTACTATGTCACAACCTAAGTCACTTTTAAGGAAAAAAAGTCTATCTGATATACCAGCCTACTCTGCAGGATGGACTCCTCCAACATACTCCATCACTTCATGAGTTGCCAAACACACAACCTGCTCTCCTGACAGTTGCTATCTTAACTTTTTAAGTGCTAGCATTAAAATTTGTGTTTTTGTAAGAACAAAAGTACAAATTCAGCCAATAAAAATTTGGGGGAGAGGTATAATTAAGATTAAAAGATTAAGGAACCTTGTGAGGGAGGGAGCATGGGAGGTAAAATGGGGCATGAATGATCTAGTGACTGACACAGTTGGCTTTCCATAAATGGGTATACTTCAGTCAGAAAATGTTCATTCATAACTTTTGCTCTTATCTAACTGGACTATTTGTTGTTTAGCAGTTGAGATTTGGTGAATTCTTTCTATATTCTAGATATACTTCTGTCAGATATATGGCTTGCAAATATTTTCCCCTATTTGCAGCTTGTTATTTTATTCTCTTAACAGGGTCCTTCACAGAGCAAATGTTTTAAATTTTGAAAAATCAAATTATTAAATTTTCATTTAGTTTCCTTTAGCTTTTGATGTCAGTTTTAAGGATCTTTGTCTAGCCTTAGGTGCCAGCAATTTTTTTTCTTCCTAAAGTTCTAGATTTTCTATTTTAGCTCATGATGCATTTGAGTTTTATTTTTCCATTTTTGTTCTGTGGGGTGTTTTGTTTGCTTATCTTTGTTTCTGGCTTATGGATGTCCAGCATCATTTTTTGAAAAAGCTATCTTCCACTGAATTCTTCCATTGAATTGTTTCTGCACCTTTGTTAAGGATCAGTTGGGTCAGGCATGTGGTGCCTGCCTGTAATCCCAGCAACTCAGGAGGCTGAGGTAAGAGAAGGCAAGTTGGAGCCAACTTGAGGTTGGTCTTGGGGATCTTTGATACAATACTTTAGGGGAAAAAAAAAAAACATTTCTCTCTAAATGAGGAAAAACTAAAAGGATGAAGGGGGGAAAGTGATTTTTTTTAATCCATGGAAAAAAATCATAGCTTGCTTAATTGAGAACTGGCCATGGGACTTTTCTCCTTATTAGACCTCCAGTTTCAGTCAGCCTTTCCCTTCTCCCTTTCTCAGGTCTAGCCCACAATTTTTTTGTTTCCCAAAATCATCTCCCCCCCCCCTTTGAAGCCCTCATTATATAGGTTATACTGAGAGTGTGTCAATTTGAGTACTCAGGAATTTGGGTTTGGGGGTTGGGAGTCAGTGACCAGCACCTGGAGAGGATTAATCTTGAAAGAGATGAAAACTATCAATGTATGCTTTTCTTTTTCACTCCCTTTTCCCAGGCCATGTATCTTGGGGTTTTTCATTTTCTGTATCTAACGTCATTTGCTTCCGAAGTAATTGACATTTATCTTGTTACTGGCTTTTGTTTCAGTCTATGTATTTGTGACTAGCTTTATAACTTTAGCAGGTAAAAACACACTGCTATAGTCCCAGCGCTTTGTGTTTTTTATTTTGAGGCAGTTTTGCTCCATTGCCTAGGCTGGTCTCAAATTTGTGATTCTCCTGCCTCAGCCTCCTAGCTTTATAACTTTAGCAGGTAAAAAAAACAGGTGATGTGTTCTTTGTAGCCCACTTTGTTTCCAAGCCCAATTGTTCTGTTTATAATAACTGGATTATCTTTTTTTTTTTAAAGAGAGAGTGAGAGAGAGGGGGGAGAGAGAGAGAGAGAGAGAGAGAGAGAGA